GGGGGGGGCAGGAGCTCCAACAAGCGTTTAGGACAGAGAGTGAATACATATACTACCAGAGATGCTGGATGAGAAACCAATGTGATCTATTCTAGTCGACCTCAACAATGGAATCATGATCAGTAGAAATGGCATGGGACCTTTAAATCCAGAAAACAAGGCTTTATGGGAACGCTTATAATGTCCTGTTTCCCTGAGTAATTTAATAATGAAATGATATTGGTGTTAAAAAGAAAATATCAGGCTAATTTGTATTTATTTCTTGTCTGAAGTAGGTTTTTTAAACACACTTTGGGATAATTTGGCATTAAGAGGCTTATTATATTATATTATGTATGAGTGACAGGTGCATGTTCCTACATGCAGGTGGGATCCTCTGAAGGGTCTCCAGGCTGCAGCTGGTCCATCAGAACCGGAACCAGAACCTGCAGAACGAGCTCAGAGACGACCGTGACGATCCTCCTGGACACCTGAGCCAGGTGAGCCTGCGTCAGCTGGAGGAGGAGAGCAGGTTCATATCATCATAATACGCTTATTTAGTATAGCACCTTTCACAGAAATATAATTCGCAGAGTTCTTCTCAAGAAAGAACAAAAGTTGAAATGAAGACCACAGAAACATGAATACAATAAGAACATGAGGCAGAAATTAAGATTAACATCAAAACAAAACACAGAGCACGTGGGGTCCCTTAAGGAACAGACTTCAGAACACATCACACACAACTCAAGGAGAAACTACTATGCCTTCTCAGAAACAGGTCAGAGTGAAACAGAAGCTGTGGATTCTACATCTTAGAGCAAAAACAAGCTCTGTAGCTGCAGGTGACGTATGTCCTAAATAGCTCTAATGGTATAGCTATCTAACTAGTGAGCTATTTTACGTTAGCTTAGGTAGGCCTAGCTAAAGTTAGCTACCTAAGCTAACGTAAGCTACAACAAGCTTGCTAGCAAATGTTTAGCTAACTAGCTAGCTATGGCCAAATTAGTGGCTCTCATGATTTCAATTATATGTATTATTTTAAGTACATTTACTTAAGTACTGTTCGTTTAGTTACTTTATAGATCTGGATTAATGATGTGAAATATAATCAACTCTTAAATCAGACTTTACAAGATCTGAGTATTTCTAACTTTACTAAAGTACAAGCTGTACTGAGTACTTCTACTTTTACTCAAGTACAAGACCTGAGTACTTCTACTTTTACTCAAGTACAAGATCTGAGTACTTCTACTTTTAGTCAAGTACAATATGTGAGTTCTACTTTTACTCAAGTACAAGATCTGAGTACTTCTGCTTTTACTAAAGTACAAGATCTGAGTACTTCTACTTTTACTCAAGTACAAGATCTGAGTACTTCTACTTTTACTCAAGTACAAGATCTGAGTACTTCTACTTTTACTCAAGTACAAGATCTGAATAATTCTACTTTTACTAAAGTACCAGATCTGAGTACTTCTACTTTTACTCAAGTACAAGATCTGAGTACTTCTACTTTTACTCAAGTACCAGATCTTAGTACTTCTACTTTTACTCAAGTACAAGACCTGAGTATTTCTACTTTTATTCAAGTACAAATAGAGTACTTCTACTTTTACTCAAGTACAATATCTGAGTTCTACTTTTACTCAAGTACAAGATCTGAGTACTTCTACTTTTACTCAAGTACAAGATCTGAGTACTTCTACTTTTACTCAAGTACAAGATCTGAGTACTTCTACTTTTACTCAAGTACAAGATCTGAGTACTTCTACTTTTACTCAAGAACAAGATCTGAGTACTTCTACTTTTACTCAAGTACAAGATCTGAGTACCCCCCTCTGCTTCCTGTACTGCAGTGTGTACTTTGTATACTCTCTATATGTCCAGTCTAAGGTTCAGGGACAGTTAGTTAATGAAAGTTCAGGCTAAGGACTCACTGGTTCTCTCATCTGGTCCCTGAGGTTCTCCCACTGTTTGTCCTGCAGGCTGTTGATGAAGGTGAAGAGTTTGTTGAAGCACAGATCTTCCTCTTCCTCCTTCCTGTCTCCCCACGTCCTCTGAGCCACAAACCTGATGGCTGCCTCCCTGTCCTGAGCGTTGGTCTTTCTGTCCTCAGCGTGGGTCTTTCTGTCCTCAGGGTGGGTCTTTCTGTCCTCAGCGTGGGTCTTTCTGTCCTGAGCGTGGGTCTTTCTGTCCACCATCCTGTGTTTCAGAGCCTCCATCCTATTGGTCAGAGTCTCCGCCCGGGGGACGAGGCGCTGCTGGACGAACTGAACTAACGTCTGCATTCAGGAGCCGGATGTCTCTCAGTGCTACGATGAAGGTTTGACGATGAAAGCTGAGTACTAACCGTAGACTCTATGGTAATAACTGAGTTTTCAAATCATGACATTCCGTACACAACCACCACGTTGATGTTGTTGGTGTTGCCATGGCTACTGTAGTTCTGTTGTTGAGATTTAATCTTTTGGTTTCAGAACTCTCCATCCATGTTTTGAATTGTTTGTTTTTTAACTTTTCTTGTTCTTTTAAAACAAGAAGTCACAGGTTTTTAGAATATTACAGAAACATGTTTATTTATTCATTTATTTAACGTGCTGATACAAATATATCTGATAAAAACTCCAAAGGTCGAGTTAGTTTCACAACCCTCTTTCTCTCTTTATTTGTATTATTTGCATGTTATTATTATTTCATTTTCTTATATATTCAGGCCTATTCGATGTTATGATGTGATATTATCTCGATCAACAGTGATTTGTTACAGGGTACAGAGTTGTGTTTTTAAATCACGACATTCCGTACACAACCATCACCACGTTGTTGTTGTTGTTGTTGTTGTTGTTGTTGTAACCATGGCTAGTGTGGTTTGTTGTTGTTTGTTTCACACTCTTGATTCCTGATTCTTTAATGAACTTATTAACCTCCACTTAATATTGTTACGGAGGCTTGTTTTGATTTAAATGTTAAACTCTTTCAGTCGATTTTTTTCTTTCATTTTGTGACTTGTTTGCTCTCGTTCCATAAAAAGCTCAGGTTCACAAAATATTACAGAAACACAAAGAAGGTTTCTCCTTTCTCTAATTTCCCCTCCTCTCTCCTCTCTCCTCGGTTCCCCTCCTCTCTCCTCGGTTCCCCTCCTCGACTCCTCTCTCCTCGTTTCCCCTCCTCTCTCCTATCTCCTCGGTTCCTCTCTCCTCGGTTCCCCTCCTCTCTCCTCTCTCCTCGTTCCTCTCTCCTCGGTTCCCCTCCTCTCTCCTCTGTTCCCCTCCTCGACACTCCTCTCTCCTTGGTTCCCCTCCTCTCTCCTCTCTCCTTGGTTCCCCTCCTCTCTCCTCGGTTCCTCCCTCCTCGACTCCTCTCTCCTCGTTTCCCCTCCTATCTCCTATCTCCTCGGTTCCCCTCCTCTCTCCTCGGTTCCTCTCTCCACGACTCCTCTCTCCTCGGTTCCCCTCCTCTCTCCTCTCTCCTCGGTTCCTCCACTCCTCTCTCCTCGGTTCCCCTCCTCGACTCCTTTCTCCTCGACTCCTCTCTCCTCGGTTCCCCTCCTCTCTCCTTGACTCCTCTCTCCTCGGTTCCCTCCCTTCGACTCCTCCGCTCGCATCTCCTGTGGGCGGGACTAAGACACGAAGATAGGAGTCGAGGAGCGGAGTCGAGGATGGGTCGATCTGAGTACTTCTACNAGACCTGTCTGTGCTGCCCCAGAACGCCTCGTTGGACATTTCTATTTTTCCATTTCTTTCTTTCTGGACACACACACACACACACACACACACACACACACATGTGTGTGTGTGTGTGTGTGTGTGTGTGTGTGTCCAGAAAGAAAGAAATGGAAAAATAGAAATGTCCAACGAGGCGTTCTGGGGCAGCACAGACAGGTCTTCTCTGTGTTAGAGTTTTACTCACTACAGGGTGTACTTTGAGGGTTTGTGACTCTGCAGACCGTTCACATGCAGAACAACCTTCATAACACACAAGGGGACGGGTAATAACCGGAAAAGCACGACATGGGACCTTTAAGTTACTAAGGGAAACAGGACATTATAAGCGAATGGGGCTACAGTAAGATATTCTATAATCGTTCTTAATGAAAAAAATATATATATTGACTGTTCATTTATTAGAAATGTCGATCTTGATTTTTAAAACTGTCCAGAGTGAGGATTTAGTAATGTTTTCCCGTTAGATATTTATTTTATATTTTGTATTTAATGTTGGTCAGAAAAAAACAGCAATATATAGATTTATCTTTGATTTAGTAACTTTTCCTAATTTATTTTTACACAATCAAATAATTAAAAGATTAACGGGAATATTCTTTTCATCCCAGTCTAAAAAGTGAATTAGCTGTTTTATTCGTGTTGCCTTGACTGAGGTTGTGACTCTATTTGTAATCAAATAAACAAGAGAGATGGCCACCTGGAGCCCTAGAAATAAGCTTTTATTAACAAATATCAGGTTATTATAAATTAAATTGCAACGTGTGATTAAACTAACGGATAAATGTTTGTTTCGCAGATCCTCGGTTGAAGAATTTCTCTTCGAGTCTTCAGAGAGCTTGTCCTCGCACACTGAACAGTTTTTGGATCCGGAGGTGGTGTCTGATATCTGCGAGCCGTGTGCAGAGATGACTTCAGGAGGGAAGCAGAGAGGAAGCGACGCCAGCCCAGTCCTCGCAGACGCTCCCGCTCTCAAAATGACAGCAACAAGTGACAAGTCCAGATATTCGGACGCGAGAGATCTGGAGAGTGTGCACGAGTTTTACTGCTGCTGCATCCCGTTCGTCCAAGAGAAACTTCAGAGCTTCCCCGTCAGAGTGCGAGAGGCCCTAAAAAAGATCAAAAATAACGAGGTATTGCGTCATTACAAAACACTCGCTGCTACACTACAAATCCTCAAAAACTCGCCCAGTATGTGTGTCTGATATCCAGTCAGAATGTGTCTCTACTCCTGATATCAGACACAATAACTCCAGAAGTCACACTGCAGTGAGATATCAGGTCTTGTTTTTAGACAAAGCATCATCTTGTTCAGTCAAAACATCTTATTTTCAGTTGTATCTCAGATGAAACACATATTTTTTCACATATTTATTGGAAAATCACCAACTAACATCAGAACACAGAACACTTTTGAGCATTTGTGGATCATATTGTAACACAACATCTCCTGATTCTGGTCAAATATAGTTCAACATGAGTTCTACATCTAATATATCCCGTCTTAGTTCAAGAGATCTTACCAAGCTCATTTTCACTTATTCTATTGGCAGATGTTTGGACTTATTTCAAGTGAAAACAGCTGGTTTTCCAGTGTATATAACACGTGCAATATTATTATTTGTATTGTGAATAATGTGCTATGATAACATGTAATTACGTATCTGCCACTATGTTTTTTTTGCTCTACTAAACATTGGTAATATTCACATTAACTATGTTTCCTGTAGATATTGAGTTGCTATTTTGACTGCACTGTTAGCGTACAGTTTGATTATCATGCCGCTGTGGTTATTGTATTTGTGTAACTCTGGCACCACAGTTTCCTTCAGGATGATTAAAGTCTTATCTTATCTTAGGTAGCCCCGCAGGAGGCGAACCCTGACACCGGAGACGCTTCACCTCCTCACGACCCAACTCAGCAGAAGACTTTCACACATGATGAGGTGTTGCAGGAGTTGCTCGCGAGCTCGCTGCTGATGTTGAGCTCGTGCTGCATCCAGGCCAGGGTCACGTCCAGCGAGCCGTACAGAGAGACGGTTCTTCCTCTGGCCTCAACGATCCTGGAGACGGTGGCCCTGAGAGCCAATCAGCTGTTCGAGAGACAGCGAGAGGAGGAGGGTTCAGAAAATGTCACCGTGACCCAGGAGCAAGTCGCCGCCTCAGCGCTGCTCGTCAGAAAAGAACTGCAGGACACGATCAAGGATTTCTTCGACAACCCCAAAAAGGAAGAGGATGGAGAAGATGGAGAGGCGGGATTCTCTGGCTTCATGTCCGTCAAGAGAGTCAAAGGAAGACAGGAAAGCAGCAAAGTCACCGGGTCAAAAGACGTGGAGGAAATGGTGCAGTTTCTCCTGGACGAAGCGCAGGGCAAGAAAAAGGACAAAACGCCGGGACATTCAGCGTCCCCTCGGTCTCAGTGCGGACATGCGCCCACACGAGACTTGTGGCACAGGATTATCAATTTCTTTGCCATCCCAAAAGAGGCTTTGGACCGGCTGTCGGATGACGAAGAAGAAGAAAGGAGGAAGAGCAGGGGAGATCGTCGGATCCTCTCACCATCAGTGAGTCCGGATCACAGGAGTCCAACAGCAACATGCCGGAGGTGGTTCAGTCTCTCATGAGGGAAGCCGAGGGCGGAGAAGGCGCTCTGAAGGGTCTGGAGCATCTGATCAGTCAAGACAAGCTGTTTCACTTCTCCAAGTCGCTGGCGGACAAACTCACGGACATGTTCAACCAGCAGACGCACGGCAAGACTCCCTTTCTGCACGTGGGCAGGCTCGCCTGGTCCGACTCGGAGCTCTGCAAGCCGAGCAAAACTTTCCCCATCACGGCCGTCTTTGAGCCCTCTGAGCAGGTGAGCGATGTGTGCTTTTATTTATGTCTTAAAGGTCTCCTACTCAACATGTGTCCCCTCTTCTCCATGTCTCTTCTACATCAACATGTGTCCCCTCTTCTCCATGTCTCTTCTACATCAACATGTGTCCCCTCTTCTTCATGTCTCTTCTACATCAACATGTGTCCCCTCTTCTCCATGTCTCTTCTACATCAACATGTGTCCCCTCTTCTCCATGTCTCTTCTACATCAACATGTGTCCCCTCTTCTTCATGTCTCTTCTACATCAACATGTGTCCCCTCTTCTTCATGTCTCTTCTACATCAACATGTGTCCCCTCTTCTCCATGTCTCTTCTACATCAACATGTGTCCCCTCTTCTTCATGTCTCTTCTACATCAACATGTGTCCCCTCTTCTCCATGTCTCTTCTACATCAACATGTGTCCCCTCTTCTTCATGTCTCTTCTACATCAACATGTGTCCCCTCTTCTTCATGTCTCTTCTACATCAACATGTGTCCCCTCTTCTCCATGTCTCTTCTACATCAACATGTGTCCCCTCTTCTCCATGTCTCTTCTACATCAACATGTGTCCCCTCTTCTCCGTGTCTCTTCTACATCAACATGTGTCTCCTCTTCTTCGTGTCTCTTCTACATCAACATGTG